GAAGGTGGCATTTATAGTAGAAATACTTGTCCATCATTACTTAAAAATTATATTTTCAAGCACAGCATTGGGATTTCCAGTAGATTAAAATATTGCAAACCTTCAATGAAGGCATAAAAATATAGAAATAGACACAACAAAGAAAAAGATGCACGTCATCGAAAGGAAACAATCCTTATTCACATAATATATTATTTCATTTTTCCTTTTGTTGCTAAAACATGAAATCATTTCTGCGATTTAATGAATTATTTGTTGTCCATTTAATATTGTAAAATTGTTCAAATAAACTTTTTTTATTACTCAAGTAAATACAAACCCTTATATTAATACTGACATTGAGTACAAATGTACTGAGTAGATTGTACTTCAATAAAAGTCCATGACATTTGAAATGGTCCTTACTATATTGATACTAATCCAATACTTGGTTTACCACAGCTTCTTTTTTCGTATTTACACTCAATACAAATATTATTAATATAGATAGAAGCTCGTGTAGAAACTAATGCAAATTGAAAACTGTTGAAGTGCACAAAGTAAAATTTTGTAATACACTGTTAATTGTTTTATTGAAACTACTGCAATACTTAAATTATTGACCGAGATAAGTATGCTAAGTTAGACTTCCAAATATGATCATACTTATCTGATTTCGTCTACTAAAAAGCTTCAATTTTGAATATCTTTGAAGTGGAACTACGATTACCAAATATCTGTCTAATCATTATTGTAAAAATGCTCTCCAAAGTGTATCTAGTTTAGATAATCGTGTGAGTGACTGACATGCGTGAGAGGCAAAACAACGATGAACATATTCATACAACTAACTTTTTAAACATTTGCATGCCAATTTATATATTTGATGAAAGCATTTTGTATGCAGTTACGCTAAAATTTGAATTTTCTAATGTATATGCAACAAATTGCCCCTGTGATTGCTTAAATATTGAGAAAAGACGAGTTTTTAGCGTTCAGTTGCATTTATGTAAAATTTTATTCCGACATGAGCACTGAATTATTTGAAACTCAAGTTTTCAAGCGTCAAGTATTCAATTTTCGAAGTAAAACTTCGTACCGGATATATTTCAAAATTTTATTGTATAAAAAATATTTTCAAATTATCCTAGTAAGATCAGAAAGGCACTTCAATCTAGCTAGAATAGAGGTCACCTTAAAAACCTACTATGTACTCTACAAACAAACTTAAAAACTCACATCCTCATGTGTGTTCGATGCTATAAAGATTCAATTTAATATCTACATTTCCAATGTCGTTCAATATTATGGTTATCTAACACTAAGAATTGAAATTTTATTCTTAATATTTAACATAATACTCTTTTATTAGTAAGAAAATATTTTCAATAGCAAGAAATACTTTTATATATTTTCAGAAAAGATGATCAAAGCTTCGGATGGCAGCTTTTTGAAGTTCACTAGGCATAGTACAATGAAGAACCTATTCTTTCTAGAGACAGTTGACTATAATCATCATGAAACATTCAGCGAGTAGTAGAATGATGATTAAAACTTGTTTAAAATTGATAATGGAGATAGAAAACAGGTATTACAATACATCTACTTTATCTTGAAACTATGTATTCTTGTATTTTGGTTAACTTTATCATTTCTTTTAGAATATTTAATTAAGCTTAGACAACACCAAGCAAGAACAAAAAAAAATATAAGGATCTTTTAAACAAGCGCTTTTCTAATATTTTTTAATTTGCTGTGGTATGAACTATGGAAATGACGGATAATCAATGATACATCCACTCAACAACAAACTTCATCTAGAACAAAACGAAAATAAAATAATCGTAAAAGTCCATAAACCATGAGTATATCATGTGTGTTTTACTTTAATGATTCGAAAATGCTGAATAATGATGTGTTTGAGTATTTCTCGAAGGACAATACATATCAACAACATTGACAGATAGATGAAACATAAACCACTTACTATGTAGGAATGATATCATCAAAAGAAAATCTACGATACCATTATCAACAATGTTCTTGATCATTCATCTTTTTTTTATCAGACAACTCGAAAAAAGTTATTTTTAAGAAGGATGTTTTTTCTGGATTATTAACATATTAATGATCTGCTTATAATCGAACAAGTAGAACTCAGTATTATTGAATAGAAATTCCTTGATCGAACCTGTTGTCTACCTACTGAAGTGTATCATAAACAAACTTCAGTAGAAATTTCAAATTTCTTACGAGTGATTTTGAAGTATTCACTTATAAACTTAAAAAAACAACAATGACGTTGGAATCTGGTGGATGAAATTGACTTGATGTTTAACTAATACTTGAACAGACTGATCCGAGTCTTGCTTTGACATTCAGTCTCTTCTTAGTTCTATATGACGACTATGAATAAATTCTTAGTAAACAACTAGACTCAATATGTATACAGAGAAGTTAACATTGTGTTCATACAATGTTTATCCATGAAGGGTGTGGGTGGGTGTGGGTGTATATCATTAATTAGCAGTCACACCGGCACCCACACCCCACACCCTAGTTTCGCTCTCTGTTGTACATTGTGTTTTTAGTGCACACATTTGTCACTAGAAGTATTTATGGAGGCCCAAACTGATAATAGAATTGATACGATATATAGATTATTCAGTGGCTTTTATTGATAGATGTCACCCAATGTTGATTGGTCTAAGCGCTAAATAATTGATTAAAACTTCAATAATCTTAAGTTTTATTTTTGAGAAACTCATAATAAATTGTTAATGATTTATTTTATCGTTTCTTGCTCCATAAAAAATGATATTGAGATTAATTTATTTATTGGCTAGTCTTTAAATGCCAATCAGAGACACTTGGTCTATTCGAAGTCGAATCTATTTGCTAATTTTTTCTATTTTATAGTTTTATAATGCTTTGTTTTAAAAAATCAATATATGTTGATGATGATGAAGAGCAATGCTGAAGAGGATGAGAAAATTCAATCAGTAATCGATAATGATGGTGAAGATTCAAACTTGTTCTCTTCCATTATAGAAGAATTATCTTTCGATAGTCCAAGTAAGCACGTTATTAAAAAGAAATAGTATTAGTGTGCAATCATTCTTTATTAAAATGTTTTAGGCTTTGAAGATATATTAAACTACACTAATGAACTAAAAGAGACAAATCCGTCAGGTAAGACCATTGTAAATGTTCATAAAATAAAAATAATAAGATTAAATTTTACAAATACGATAGTTTTTCTTTTTATTCTGAAAAAACCTTATTATATGATTTTAATTTAATTATTCATTGGTTATATAGAATTGCTTGTAAAATTGAATATTTTTTATAATAATATTGATAAAAAGTATCTGTAACGATTAAAAACATATTATTGAGATGAGACGTTTCAAACCTCACAGCATAAGTACCATGATAAGCATTACTGATACTTATTAAATTACAAATTTAATATTTTCTCTCAAATTCTTTATCTTTGTATTGAAAAAAAAATTTATATGGAATGCGTATTATAGAGTATCAAAGAATGTTCACAAGCGTTGAAAATGCAACTGAGCGAAAATATGCACTTCGTCTTGCTGAAGTTGATAGTGGTCGTTTAAGTTTATATTTATCTGCTCTATGGGGAGCTAATCACATCGATATTATCGGTGCCACACATTTGCGTAACAATGTACTTGATCATATTTGTCAATCAACACATATTGATATTGAAGATTATATGACTGAAGCACAATGCAAAACACGTCAAGAATATTGTGATAAAATCAAAGAAGGTCTTATATATTGTTGTCCAGATGAACTTTATGGTTTAGTTTCTTTATATTCAAATTTCTTATTTTGTATTATTTTAAAAAAACAAACTGAAAATAAGAAAATTTCTATTCATGTTTATAATTACGCACAAGATATATTATCCTACAAGAAGTGCATTTTTATATATTATGATAGTATGACCGGTGATTATAATCCATTATATTTACATAATAAAATTACGGACGAAGAAGAAAAGAATAATTTAAAACATGATGATCCAATGTTGAAAAACCTTCTTCTTGATTTTATCACAGATGTGCTTAAATGTAAGAGAAGAAAAATTAGATAACTAATATAAATATTCCTTTTGTATAGATGAAGATGAAGCAAAATTTGAAGACATAAATTTAAATGGTCAACCCGTTACGTTACGAGGATGTACCTGTAAGCAACTTGTTTTAAAACAGTATTTTCTATTGAATTATTTTATTTATTTTTTTTATATTAGTTGAAGACAGTCTTATAGATCAATATATTCTGAACAACATAATTATTCATACTGAAAACGACACGCAGCCGCCATCTATTCCTGTTACTCAGACTTTACAATCATCGATATCGTATACACATAAAGGTTTGTTCAATGCAGGGTTGGAGCCGGTCCGGCCGGACCGGGCCAGTAAAGACCGGAATTTCACCGGTTGAAATTTTTCAAGAATCTTCTTTGTTAATCCTGTTTTTGACCATAAAAGCTAAGGTATCACATGTTTTTTCTGTCAGAATAGGTAAAAAAGTGCTCAAAACATATGTTATATTAATCGTTTTTCCTGAGGTTCTCTTTAAAAAGATTCATTATGATGAGCGACTTTTACATGCGCCTTAAACTATTTCATATTTGGAGCGATTTTTTCTAAAAATCGGTTTTCAACAAAAAATTCGACATTTTTCCACCGGTTGGACATGTGATTCCAACCGGCCGGACCGGACCGGTAGGATTTTTCAACCGGTCGGACCGGACCGTTTTAATATTTCTCGACCGGTTCCACCCCTGGTTCAATGTATCTTAATATCAAAACTAAACGAAGTCTTCTTCGATTAAATGAGAGAAGAATCAAATACAGAACGAATCATCGTCTGTTGTATATTATATTTTATTCAAAAAACTAATGTATACCATACGATGCAATATGGAAGATTCTGCAATGTAATCGAGGCTATTTGTTTTAATATTTAAATTCTTTGCTTTCGCAAAGAATGAAATTCTATATATCGTATTTTCGATATTGTGAATAGTGATTGAATAGAATTTTGTTTCTCTTTTGAAAACTAAAATCAAATTGCAGAGTTTTTCATTTTTCTTGAATAAATAACATGCAATTTAAAGCTGCTATTAACTAGAGTCGATCGTTGAGATATTTTATTGAAAATAATTTAAAATTTTTGATACATACTATTTCATGAATTATCAATTTTCTTGCAAAAATTGAAATCAAGCAAAAGGAATTATATGAACATTGGATAGAATTTAGTTATATTTGCTTTTTTTCTTTATACACTTGAAATAAATGTTATTGGGTTACGAAATAATCATTTAGTGAAGCCTTCCTCATTTTTCTTTTTCATCAAGTCGACTAATTGAAGAACGACAAATGCGATTGCTGGGGCTGCTATCATGAAAGAGAGATAATAGTCTCAGATCTATTAGTTTTCTTTCAAATAAAGTAATTTTGCCTAACAGATCTTCGGCAATCACTACTTTTCATATATAGCAATATATTTAAAAAAAAATAAAGCTAAATGTTAACTTAATATATATAACAGGTCATGTCATTACATCAAAAACATCGAAAAACGTGTCTGGCAGTACATCAGGATTTATTCAAGGAGAGACTCTGGGCGGTGGTCATTGCATGTTCTCAGCATTTTGCAACATTTTAAATGGTTCAATCCTTAAGAACTTGGAAGAAGTTAAGCGTTTACGTAAAATAATTGCTGATTTTCTCCGTCAAAGAAAGGATATTGATATGGAAGAAATGTTAAAGAGTCGACATGAAACTCGTGAAGATTACTGTAATAGTATAGAAACAACAAATCGTTGGGGTGGTGAACCAGAAATTATCGCCTTCTCTATGTTGTATGAGATAATGGTCTGGGTTACATCTGTTAATTCTAAGGATAAACAAATATATTTTGTTAAATATCCTTCAGAGAAAAACTCATTTAATAGATGCTGTTATATTATCCGTAACAACGATCATTATAAATCACTGCATTTAAGAAATAGTTCAAATAAAGCTATTACAATTTTTGATTGTAAAGATGAAAATGAAGCAAACGAACGTCTTATTCAATTTGTTAAAAAAGAGTTTGTTGGTGCGTAAAAATATGAATTTTAACGAACGAATAAGATAATAAATGTTTATTGAATTCTAGGTTATGAAATCGTACAATCCCCTTGTATGAAAATTGGTAACGAATGCGAATGGAACTCAAGTAAATGTAAATAACATGAATTTGAAGTTTTTTCTTTTAATTTTTTTATGAATTTTCTATAGATTTCGAGCAAGCCAACTCTACGGAAATGAATTCATCAAAAAAACGAAACTCATCAGGTAAATAGAAAGTCTATTTTGTTTTTTTTATATCCTTCTTATCTTGGTACATATGGAATAGAACATTACGAAATAGTGGGCAACGGTAAGTTATCATTATCAACGGTTGCTATGAATTTAAGCCTATTTAATGCTTAATAATATGTGAAGCTACAACAATGATTTAAAGCCTGAAAATAACAGAAAATTTTATAGATGAAACTACTTAAGATAGTTTCTAATCTAAGTCTCGAATATACTATATTAGTACACTACTGGAGAGAAGCCTGTGTTCATATAATCTACTAAGAATACAGACCAGTACTATGAATTACGTTCTATTGCTAACACACAACGAGACAATAGTATTCTGTTTCGATTGATGAAAAACTAAACTGCACTGTAGTAACATGATATATAGAAGACAGGCTTTTTAAGATGTAAATTCTTAAAGCAAAACTCGGCTTCATGATTGTAATTCTTGTAGTATTTAAGAAATCGGAACACCCTCACGATTCTGACCAACATTTTTCTTGGATTATGGGCATACACATTTCAACACCTGAAATGTTCCAGGGAAAATACTTTTGAATACTATTAGAAATTGTAAGTGTTAAAGGAAGAATTGCAATACAAAAAAAGATCTAGCAAGGTATAGTAAATATATAGGTAAACGAATAAATTTTCTTAACTTAAAAGTCAGACATCTAGAAGTGAGAAATCATTTAATTATTTAGTTATTCACTTTTGTTGCTTCGTGTAATCCCTCTCATTTTCATCTTGGTCTAATAGCTATATCTACTTATTGAAACAGTGTTCTATAGGTGTGAGTTTCTGTTTTATCTTTTCTTTGTTCATACTCTAAGAAAATATGAAAAGTATAATGGCGAAGAAGCATAAATGAGGATGAAAACTTCTGATTTACATCAATAGACAAAGAACATTTAGGCAATGCGCCAAAGAAACAGCAAAAGTATGATTTATGAATTTTATTAAAAGAAGACGAGATGAAATAGACAAATACGCAGTATTAATGACTTATAGTGTATTATTGTTATTCGTAAATTAAATTGATTTCGTGTACTTTAATATTAAGGTACAGTACTCATATTGGTCCTGTCTACAAAATCTATTTGAGCTTAGTTTGCATCTATTTTTCAATCAGAATGTTTATTGATCTAATTTAGTTCATAAATCATAACTTTTGTTACTCAGTATAGTAATTAAAATAATATATATATATATCTTTTATCAAGCTTATGAAGCAGTTTTATTACTTATCGTAGGTAAATAAATCAAGTTTTAAGTAATTTTAATTGGGGAATTGTTTTTAGCTTATGAAAATGAAAGTCGCTTTTATTATTTCTAAAAATAAATATTCTTGAAGAATTTTTCCGATTGATATAATCTCACTTTAACGGGATCTTCTTTTAATGATTTTGGCATTTAATCATTTAAAATTAACCTAACAAACTTTTATTAATATTTCTTTTTTAATTCTTTTTTCATAGTCGACATTCAATCAAGGAAACGTTCTCGTACAGCTCCATCGGATGACAAAACGGGTATTCTTCCTATAATAATCATTTATTTTCAGTTTGTTTTCAATATCCTGTTTTCTTAGATAATGCAACTTGTGAGATATCCGATTTGGATAAATTTTTCCAAATGGATCTTTCTGATTTACCAAGTATGTATAATTTTGGAGAATATTCTTTTTAGCAATAGTTTTTAAAATTTTAGCTTCATCTAATCAAATAAATGAAAAACAGCGACAAACAGAAAACATTGCAAATATAAATGCTTATCAAGAACATGATCAACAACTAATAAGCCTTAAAACTCAACCTATAGAAGAGTTTCGTGGTCGTTTTAAAAGTGAGATTCGACCAAAGGGCGCAAAGAAGCGTGATGGTACACCTCAAGTTACAGAAAAGTCACCGGTTTATTTTGCTGACCGAAATGGAAATCATTTTCTAGAATTATTGGTTCGTTATCTTAGTGTAAAATATAGTCATTAGAATATGTATTGTAGATTCGACCAAAGCTCATATTCAACAAGGAACCATTTCCTCGTGATCGTGCTCAGATACGTGCTTCGATACTGACAATACCTATCAATGGATACGTATATGTTCATCCATATTTTAAATTTTACCAACGTGAAAAATCTGATGAACTTTCTTGGGTTAATCCAATTTATATAGATCTTGCATCTGAAAATGGTTATAAAGATGTCACTGAGACCGATGAATTATTGAGTGTTATGTATGTTTGAAAGATAGTGAATATTTTGTTTTCTTTATGTATTATTAAATTTTAGTCTTAAGTTACCAGTTGTAATGCTTAAAAAAGAAGAAGTAACAGGAAAAGCTTTGGAACCTTTTGCATTTTACCAAGGTAGGTAAAGAAAATCTTTAATTTATATTTTCTATATGTCGTTGTATTAGATGGGCAAGTTGATACAAAGAAATATACACATTGGGATAAAATGAATGAAAAATTTAAGTTAAATGATATTCGTTTTGCTTTTGTGTTGCGTGTTAAAAATTTGAATAATGAAGGTTATAACGAATATACTGAACAAATATATATTAGTGAGATTTCAACGCAAAATAGAAAAGTAAAATTTTACTGATCAATATATTTAATTGTGTTTTTTTTCATTTCGAATTTTCCATTGTAGGCTACAGTCAAAAAGGGCAATAAAAAATTAAAATTTTATTCAATATTCTGAAGCCAATACCGGTGAATATCTTGACAAATAATACCTGAAAATTCAATTTATCACATTTTATGGATTTTCATCGGGTTGATTTTTTTAGAAGGTTATAAGTTATATTGTTATAAATATATAAAATCATTATAAATAAAAAAATAGAATAATACAGCTCTCCTTTTTAATCTTCTCTTAGCCATAATTTTATCAATGATCACCATAAAGAGTGTTCTAGTAAAGAAATGGTGTGGGTCATAGATACATGCCGGTATTCACCATGATCTTCAATTCGCATCTTGTGTTGGAGTAATCTGTGGCACATACATTATACATTAAAAAAAGGAATTTTTCAGTTTAACCACTAAGACAACTGGCCAGAGAAAAAAGAAAGAATACATATTAAAGCATCTTTATAACCTCCCTATTATAATTAGAAATTACTTCATTCTAAATGAATAGTTTTGCTTTAAGGATCGTTACCAAAACGAATAATATCGACTCAATGAAAAAAATAATAATAAATGTTTTAATGATCTACGAAAAATCAGTTATATGAAGCGAATAGACTCGTGTATAGTTTCTTTCAGAAAATCACTTAGAAACCTCTTTCATTATTTTTTTCATCAATTAATGGTCTCAATGATGCTACTAGTAATCTCTAGTTGATATATCAGGCTCATTTATAAAAGCCTATTTACTATCAATTGTATCTTTTGTTTGAAGTTTATTGCTTTTGTTTTTATAAATTCTCAAGACATGCTACTCAATATCAGAAACATGCCGACGGTAGGTATTACTTTCTAAAAATATTTATACGAAATAAGAAATTATGATATTCTACTACAATGCATTTCACTACAAAATCATGTTATCAAACATTTACTTACTCTAAAAGTTGACTGAATTATGTCATAAGCAAAATTTATTCTAAAATGTAATCAAAAATCAATATGCTGTATAAAATACGGAGATCACGGGAATTTTTTTTTGCGAAAAGCTCAACGATAAATTGTATAGATAAACTGAGCTTATGACTTAATGTTTTATATCTAAAATCAGTTTTTCTTCATGGATAAAATTTCCTGTTCCATATAAAAAATAATTAACGCAGCTGATTACGGATGATTCTAGGTGTTGGAACAGAAAAGAACAATACCCACAACCTTATTGATGATTATTAACGTCATCTTGTCCATAGAATCTTCTTCATAATACTCTGAAAATTCTAAGAAGAATAGACCGGATAAGTAAGAAAGTAAAATTTTAAGTTGATCTTGATATTTTAAGCAATATGACTTGAGTTGAAATCACTTATACGAAAACTTATTCTTGAGTTTTTTAACTTACAAAACAGGATTTATGTAGTCATTGCTAGTGATATATATGGTAAGGAATATAGAAAAAGTTGTGAGACTTGCAAATCCAATCGTATTAAACAAGCAAACCACTCTTATGACACCAACATGATGTCTGCAAAGTATTGAGTAATTTATCAACTTGTTCTTTAATCATTTGATTATTTCTCAAGAAATGAAACATATTTTCTCCTTCGGATATGTAATAGGAAACGATATCTTCTCATTAATTATAATTAATGCAATAGTTGAATTCTAGTGTCAATCGTTTCAAACTTGGTTATTATTGTAACAAGTTGGTTAGAGCTAGACAAAAAAAATTGTTACCAGAATAAGCGACTTTAAGAAACGATAATGAAAACTTGAATGAAATGGGAAAATGTGGGTTAAACTGAAATCATCATCGGTGCTCACGTACATAAAAAATCTAATATGAAATAGGTTCAATGTAATCAGGAACTACGAATTTTTCAATATCAAATTCATAATTAGTAATTGAGAAATGTAAACCCCATAGTCAAGTAAGCTGTGTATTCAAAGTTTTAAAAAAATTCGCACAGATCAAATGTTCAATCAGCAGCATGTTCAAGCTTCAATTTTAAACATTGAAATGTATTTGTTTATTACAAAAAAAGAGAGAAGATATGAATATGAAAGAAAAAGATGCACAACCAAATCTCTATGCTTAGTATAAAAATGGTCATGATAGAGTCAAATATCTTTCATTATGTATCTAAACTCCGTTCAAAAATAAATTGTACGAATGCAATATTGTTCCATCTACTTCATGTGACATGACGTTGTAAATTTTTATGTTCACACATCCATATTCTAAAGAAAAGAAAACTAAAATGAAGTAATTACGTGTTTTCAGCATTCTATAAATATTACATCAAATTTGGCATGTATCTACATCTACTTACTTTCATTTGTCTGAAACGTCATCTAATTTCTTGGTTTCATTCAAAGAAGTGATCTTGAAATAAGAGCAAGCGAAGCAATAAACTTCTGAAGCCCATGTTTCAATACTTCATTGGATCTTAAGTCTTTTTCATTGTTAATCTCAACTTTCAAATACAACATATTCGTTGGAAAATTATCATTAGCGACCGAGTGGAAAAATTAAAGTAAAAAAAAATGAGTGACCATATACACATTTTAAGTATCACTTGCTTCTTCGATCATGTACAGAAGCAAATATTTTACTGAATTAATAAGCAATCATGAAAAAATCGTGATTATTTGATTGATTGAATATAGTCACATTAAATAATTTCATCGCTGTTGACGAATATATTCATTTAATTCAGCTTTTACATTACTATAAGAAAGTGCATTGATCGTAACGGTTGAGTAAAAATCTTTATCACATGTATACGGATAGGTCGTTTTGGCTACTTAAGATGCTAATAGAATTCCGGCGGCATACGTGAATGTTGGAATGTGTTAAGAGGAAATCAAAACCGTCACTTACACTCCCACACCCGAAAAATTGATATATAGAATATCAGATTTTCCCATTTCAACTAAATCTAAAGCCTGGAATTATCTTGGCATAACAATTACGTTATCAAGGAACTGGTAATATATGCAGTTTTCAAGTGTGGGTAACGACAAAAAGGAAACTTGTACCAAAAGCTACAGAAATCATCATCTCGCATTCACATACTGATACCTTCATTATGCTGAAATAGCGAAATTCATAAAATTTTTTTGCATACCTTCGGAACTTTCTCAAATTAAATCTTGTCTCTTCAGGAAAACCGTCAGAGATACCAATGTTTGCTATGATTTGTGATCCACTCTGCAATATGATGTAAGTCTTGTGTTCAAAAATTTATAAATCTTTGTAGTAAAGGCATCGTGTTTATTTGAGTATGTTGAAAGAGAACAATACACTCGCTCTATCCTCAAACTATGGAAACATCACAAGAAGAAAAAACAATTTTCTAGTGACATAACGAGAAAAGAGCAAAGTAATAAATCCTGTTAATTGAATAGAATCAAATGAAATACAAAGATTAATAAGCCCTATGTGATTTATGTCAAATACCTTTATATTTGTCTTAATGATAGAACGCTCTTTGAATTTTTTATTCATATCTATTGACTGTAAATAGATAAGACGAATAAAAAGAAAAAAAAATTCAAGGATTGAGTTCTTGAAATAAAATAGTGCCTTGTTAATAGTGATTACTTACCTGATATCCATTGAGATTGTATTTTGAAGTATTATACATCGTCATCTCTGAAGAAGCACTTTTTCTGTCGAATATACTGTTTTTGAATAGTTTTAATATTGTTATTCTTAGAATATACTCTAATCACGTTAAATATTATTTGAAATAGCCTGGTTGTTTCTTGTTCGTCTTCATTTGATTGATCATTTAGTCAAGTAACAATTTTTTTTAATAAGAAATAATCATTTTGTTCTTTCATTTATGATCATTCTTTTTCTTTGTATTTCTCGTTTGCAAAAAAAGGGAGAGAAATATAATTAAAAATATTTTGTAGGAATTTTGACAAGTTGTATCGATTTATCTTTAGCCATTTTCGGCTAAGAAAAAATCAAAATTATTTCAAAAGAAACACATATAACCTATTCTATCTGAACCTTCTTCGGTAATCAAACCAAAGCGTTATTTGAATATCGGTGTATTTTATCAACTACCAATTGTTTGATTCTTATTCATATATCTAAGAATCATAGTTGAAATCCAACAACCTTTCGTCACTCTGTTTTGGAATTGTTCATTTTTGTTTATACTTTCCATTTTCAAATTTTTGTAACAATTTGCGCGAATTACACGTAATAAAAGATGGGTGGGTAGGTTCTGAAATATTTTGTTTTTGATGAGAACTAGAAAGAGGTATCCGGTTTTCACTTGTAAAACCAGACAATAGAGCTGTGTCGAATTAACCAATCACAGATTTTTCTGACAATCTTTCTGAGAGCCTCTAACCAAGACGTTTTCATTAAAATCTTTTGAAAATATTTGATAGAATGGCAATGACTCACGATTGGTCTCGGCCTTAAACATCAGACTTACATAGATTATTGACTCTGAGTCAAAATTTTTATTCTCAATTCAAATTAATGCATTCAAAACAAATCTTCGAAGAAGGCTAAAAACGACGGTGGTACAAAATACTTGTTTCAAAGGTCTAAGTACTTATTTGTACTGGTTTTATTGATACTCAACAATAAATAAAGAAGAGGATAACTATATATTTGGATAAAACTGGAGTTCATTACCCTTTTTAAGTGCATTAGTTCGACATGATAAACAGATTCTTGTATCAATAAAACATGTGGTTTCTACTGCAAATGCAGCATCTTTAATTAATTTGTAAACATCTATCATACGAAGAATTCCGTAGAAACACCATTTACTGCTTCCATTGAAGTTTAGTTCTTGCTAAATCAATTTAAATTGTGAAAAAAGTCTGAATTTGTATTATCATGTAACTGCCAAACTATTGACTATATCGAATCTGCAGTTACATATTTATTTCATGCATGTTATACTTAGTATTTTAGATAGTATTAGCAGTTTATATAGAATATCAATGCAATCTTCTGATCAGAATGAGGCAACTGTCAAGATCAATGTTTATCATATATCGAAAAAAGTATTTTGGATAATTCTATCCTTGACTTTAATTTGTCTTATAGTTTTACTTACGCTGACTATTTATTTTGGTGTTCGCTCCCAAAAAACAACTACTGTATATGTTGAAACTACATCATCATCGTCAGCAAGCACTTATAGTTGGAATGAAACAATAACATCGGTTACAATGTCAACTACAATGACGCCGGCTCGACCTGTAGAGCAAATATCAATGAATTTAAAACCAGAATTGTATCATTGGACTATTACTCCTGATTTGATCCAAGAAACATTTAAAGGTAAACAAGCTTTTTTCTTTGAATTAAACAATAGATTCCATAATTATTTGACTTGTTTTTATTTTCAATTCTAGGTGATCTTTTCTACAGATTTACATGTCTTGAATCAACAAAAGAATTAATTTTACATATGATAGACTTGAATATAGACAATTCAACAATAGCTATTGTTAATTCATTATCTGGTTCAATACCTGTTTTTGATACATGGATCTATGATGATTATAATCAATTTATGATTATGAAGTTTTTATCCGATTTTCAACCGACCATAATCTACACACTTCATACTACCTATTCGGCTAGTATTGATCGTGATTTTCAAGGTATCTATTTAAGTGACTATGTTGATGTCAATGGTGTTAGTCGAACATTTATAACCTCTCAAATGGAACCAATGTATGCCCGAAGTGCACTTCCATGTGTTGATGAACCTGCTCGTAAAGCTATATTTCGTATTATTATTAACCATGATTCTTCACTTGTTCTATGGGCGAACTCAGAATTAGAACATGAAGATACATTAGATGATGGTCGCATGAATTCTTATTTTGCTCCTACATTAAATATGTCAACATATCTACTGGCATTGATTGTAGCACCTAAATCAGATTTTGGATGTTTATCTGGTCATGTTATTAGCAGTTCAAAAAATATTACGTCACAAGTATGTGGACGTAAACAGATTTTACCACAAATGTCCTATGCTCATGAAGTAGCATTGAAAGTATTGGACTTTTTCAATCAATATTTCGATATAGAATATGCATTTCCAAAAATTGATCATTTTGCTGTACCTGATTTCAAAACTGGTGCGATGGAAAATTATGGTAAGTAGTTTTATTTCGTATTTAAACATTTAACAATAAATGTAATAAAAAATATTATTGATATTCAATTTCAGGTTTATTGATTTATAATGAAATTGGTACGTAGGATATCTTAGGTCAGGATTCGAGTATTTCCCATTACGATTCGCTCCAGGACCGGTTCCAACTAAGATCACACTGGTTCCAAGTAGAGCTCGATGAGCTCTATCTAATGCACCCCATTTCCCCCCAAAATGCATCTACCTTTCCTACGAAAACCAGGTTTTTCCGCCAAAAAAACATGTAAAAATAGCCCAAAAATAGAAAACCCTGCTGCGATTCGCCGACAGACTGGTTCCAGGAAAACCAAGGCCAGTTCCAAGTAGAACTCTACGAGCTCTCTCCAATGAATCCATTTTAGAATCGATTCGACCCTCCGATCACCCCAAAACCCCAGAACAATTGCAAAAACCAGGCTCTCAACTGAAAAACCTGTCACGATTCGTTCAACAACTGGTTCCAACAAAACTAATACTAGTTTCTAGTAGATCTCAATGAGCTCTATCGAATACACACCTTTTCAGCTCAATAACTCCTTTCTATTGCCCAGAAACTGCTAAAGAAGCTAAAAACCTAGCAGTTTTTCTGTAAAACAATTTTGGTTGACCCGGTGGCTGATTCCAATATAACCAACACCGATTCCAGGTACAACTCAATGAGCTCTATCGAATGAATACCTTTGGAGGTCTTCTCGATGCTAGCGTCACAATGAAATGGGCCGGAAAAGCTCTAAAACCAAGATTTTCTAAAACAAAATCTGTCGCGATTCGCTCACCGACCGGTTCCAACAAACTAACCCTGGTTCCAAGTAGAACTCGAGGAGCTCTATCAAAAGGAGATCTTTTCAGCACGATTCGATACTCGGATCCCCTCGGAAAGGGCAAATCCTGGTTTGAATTTTACAATCGTTCAAGAAGTGTTGGTTTTTCGTGATGTCGTTGTTCTGGGGATGATACACGAAACATGAACGAATTTTATTTTCCTTATGATGGAATTCAAATAATATATATATCGATAAAAAGGGAAAGCGAAATAAATCGGGAAATTGTAGTTATTGCGATCATAGTTGTTAAGAAAAAGTAAAATTAGGTAAATATTTCGCAAAAAAATTAGTCGAACACCTTTTTTTCTAAATTTATTTTGTCAGGTGCAACTAAAAAATAATTTTTTAATTCATTTTCAAAATGAATATCGATTTTTGTTATAACTGTTACTCTACAATTTTGTATTCAGAATGCATTATATAAGAAGAACTCTTTCTTTTTATAGAATAATAGTAAAAAATAAACTTACCGAACTTGAACACTATAAACAAAACCTTATATTTTATTTTAAATTAAAGTATACATACCAGGACGTGTAACATTGACATTACATACAGCTATTTCCAAAGCTTGTCCAATACATCAGTCACACCCACTACTGTCATTCCATACTTGATTTAACTACATAAATAAAATTTATTTTAGTTTTAAAAACGAAAAGAAAACAATATATTTATTCTTACCTGATGATGTCCATATAATTTCGTTCAATATGACTATTGATTGGACACGTATCTAGCAAATGTAAATAAAACTAATTTTTACAATAAATCAAAAGTGAAACAAATTGCAAGCCAGGACATACTGACTGTTCTGTACAAGGTTCAGGTATAATATCGCTACTACCACATGTACCCCATGGTCGATTATCTACTTATCAGAGATTTTCACAGCTGTACGACAGCATCAATTCTGTAGAGAAGAATTTCTAGAAATAGTAAAAAATAGAACTAGATGAACGCTGATATGTCTTTCCAACAGTCCTTCACAGTATGTCAAACTTGACACTTCGGAACCGTTGATGTTGAGTTTTTTGAATGTTCGAACTGTGATTTATAATATTTCTCAAGACTACTGATACTAACTGTCCTGAAGTCACTTAAATAAATAAATAAATCCATAAATTTTGTACTAGCATCCATTTTGTTAACATTTCAGTGAAAATAGCTAAATCAGCAATATATTAGAAAGACTTGATGTTAATGCAGCTTAAATTAAATTTGAATCATCAATAGCTGAAAGTATTTCTGATGTTTCTTATCCGTGTAATAAAAATTCATCATGATTTTTAAATTATGTAAATCTAAATTCTCTTTGACACCATTCATTTTCAATTGAAAGTATAGTTTTCATTCAATGTCATGTTCTTTTTGTGACGATATTTTATTAATCAAACATTCATAACATGTTTTAGTGAAAATATAGACTGATTATCATGTTGTATGTGAATTTTGGCTAATTTTTTCAATTCTTTTCCAATGACGAGACTAACGAAAAAACAAAAAAAGAAACTTTTTATTATTCATATAATTACTTGCATAGTTGGATTCATTGATAATTCAAATAGTGATAAACATTAAAATTATCTAATTTTTTTTCATTTTACTAAAGAAAACACAACAGTAGTTCAAATAACCGATTAAGTTCTGTAAATGAATACATATCAATATAAAAATCTTCCCAATTTGTTTCATAATATATTTCTATTGTTTTTTAATAGTTTGTTAATTAATGTATTTAGCTTTAGCGGATACATATATTTCATAACGTTTCCATAAATCATATAAAACATGATACAAAATGTGTTAAATGATTAACAATCATAGATCCATTATTATCATAATCTTTAACAAAATTCGTAACATTATTTTGAAATTGTTTCTTATCAGTTAGAAAATAATTGTTGAGCATTAACAAGATTACGTGTAACAAGTTTAATTTATTTAAGAAGAGTTCCTGAGTGCTGAGAAGCATTTCAATAGCGATCTGGGGTGTGCGTGGAATATCAATTAAATAACGTTTCAATAAATTACAGAAGTTCTTTATTTAAATATATAAGTTTTCTACGAATGGTTTATTCTGCATTTTATTAAATCCTAATAATAATATACAAAAATATGTTGTAAAATTTACCAAAAACCTCACATTTTCTTATATTGATTGTGTCCAACGAAATCAAAGAACTCGTCATTGAGAAGTTCATATTCATTACCATAGGATAATTAATAAAAGCTAGCATTAAAAAAAATACAATTGGTTATTAGTTGTAGTTCATATGGAGTCTTATTCAGGAATTTCTTATAACCACTAGTTTGATCAGAATACTTAATAGTAATCATCATAGTTCTATTTCTTTTATAACTAGAGAATAACGTTGTCATAATACTAAGCTTTTTCTTCGCAAATCAATATCTGTCGATTTAAACGTGATTCGGTTTTTAAAAAAAAATCATTCATATTCACAAATTTCATTCGATAATGTATTCGAACATGCTTACCAAATATTAATTCTAGTTGTCGAACTTCATCATAGAAATTTGAATTTGTTTAATTGAATCACGTGTATCAACAACAGTACTAGGATTAGCTAAAGTGAATCTTTTTTGTTTGTTTCCAACAAATCATGAAATTCATAAATTTCTTCGAATTCTTTTTCGAATCTTATTTTAATAAAATTAAAATAGATTAATGAATATATAATATATCATTCTTACCAAACATTACTTTCGACATAAAATTCGTATTGTAAAATTGTTTAAATTTTTAAAGTATCTCTATAATCTAAAGTTGTGTGCACAATATTCTAATGTTAACCATTTGTGAATTGTTCGATCGGTTATGTGTTCTTACCTTTGCTAAGAGTCAACTGTAAAGATAGAACGTATACTGTAAGTTGTTTTACCTTTACGATGGTCTGTTTTAATGTATCTGATTCATATATCAAACTTAACAACTTCTTATATTCTTTCACATTGTTCAATTCGTATGAAATTCTCTTATCTATTATCAGACATGTTATCTATTGATACGAATTCCGAAAAATCACACATTAGATAATTTATAGATTTACAGTCAAATTTTCGTACACAATGAAAAATGCTCAAAACGTAATTAACTAATTGATCCATTAATTGTTGAATTTCATCAATGTTTGGATATAATATAACAGCAAAAGAATATAATTGAAGTTTTTTTATTCGAGATTTCAATGGAATGCAAACTAGAGAATTTTCTCTTTCGATTTTTAATTTTTTCAAATCTATTTTTAGTACATAATATTAGTGCTTTGATTAAACGAGTTAAGAAATTCATTACCCTAAAATTCATTAAAATGTTTTCATCGATTGGATGATGGAAGAATATATTTATTTGGATTTCTTAATTTTGATAGATCTTGAACGAACATCTGCATTGACGGAAGTTGCCTTAAATCTATTTGAAAAAAAAATTCACATCTTATTTTTAATATTTTTGTTCTTATCAATAAACAATCAATATCACTTATTTTTTCTTGAAATGATTTTGATTTATAACCCACTTTACCAAAAAGTATTTGTATAACACTAAAAACAGTTGATTCAATATTGCATTGAAAGTGAATTCTATTTTTCAACTTTGTATACTTTTTGTTCTCGAATATCATTAACAAATTATTTAAAATCAATTAAATCATCAGAAAATTCAAGAATTTCATAAAAAAATACTTCATTTATGGTTTCTTCTATACAATGAATTATTAGTGAAGCTATTTTACTGAGAAAACCAAACATTAAGAAAATTTTTTGATATAATAATTAAGACGATTTAAAACAATCAAAAGAGTATTATAGACCTAAATCAAACAACAAATAGAAATATAAAATTTCAATTCTTGAATGCTTCAAAATAACTTATCTCTTATTTGTGTCATCACTTTTTCTACTAATCTATAACTTGTTAAATGCGCCTTAGCTAATAAAGTCAAAAACACACTTTTAGTAATTTCGACAATACCAAAATACAAACCTCATACACATGTTGATCATCTATACATTCACATCATGTAGAATAACATCATATAAGTGGATGATAACTAATATATAATTGTTGAATAAAAAGTGGATTACACAATAGATACTGGCATGTGAACGCTATGTTCCGAAAAAGGAGGAGTAGGGAGGATTTTACTGGAAATTTTTAAGAGGATCTGGGATAAAAAAGAAGGAAAAAGGAGGATTTCTGTTTTCTCGTGAAAAAGAAATCCTATGCAAATTCAAGCTCATTGGCACTTTGAAAAGAGTGTAATAAAATATTTAATACAATTTCAACAAATGTTTATTCATAAATTTCAAACAAAACCCTGAACAAGCAATCACTCAGAACAAAAAAGTAACTATCACAAAGAATTTGTTTGGGTTAAATCATTCGTTAGCGACACGATTTCTCAAAATTGAAATGCATATATCTCTGGACAATGAGCTTATCTAGAGCTGATTTTTTTATATGCTGTATTTATGTTAAGTTTCTCTAGACAATCTGAAAAAATAACCATAATGATCCTTGTTCGTCATAGTTATGATTAAAAAATTAGCGTTAGCGACGTGACTGAGAAAAGGACATAAACTTCCATTGCAAGCATTTCAATTCAAAAATCTACGAATTGAAACACTACTTTCGAAAACTAAATAGTAAATGTTGCAGACAACTCTTGAAGCTAAAAAATATCTATTTAATGTTTTTCCTGAATATGTTTAGATTTTTAAATAATTTGAGTTTATTTGGCGTTAGAGACGTGACAATTTCGTTAGCAACGTGACACAGTACTACTGCGCAACCGAGGAGGTGCTCTTGTAGCAGACTGAAAAGTTCTAAATCGACTTCAAACGTTGCAAATTATTATTTACAGCCCCTAGATGATGATAAGACAAAATTTTTCGTTTCTGCACTAATCAGGGTCTCTAGAAAACAGGTTTTTCGAAAGAAAGTTTTTGGTGTCGAATCTTGTGAAAATTTTGTCATAGATGCAGCTCATGTCCAAGAGGCTATCCTGAAGTTTTCAGATTTTTCTTTTATCTGATTAATGAGATATTCACTAATTAATTTTTAATTAATTAATAACCACGTGAAAGACGGAGCATTTTCACATAAGTCTATGTTAAAAGACTTTATTCAAAAAATTCGCTCTTATAGAGAATTAAACTTAAATGAAACGTATAAATGTCCCGTTTTGCCGCCTGATTTAGCCCATACATGACTGTACAGTAGCATAAACGCAAATATTAATGGCAATAGGTATTTTCGTCTTGGGTTAACATTGGTTCTACAGTTAGCTTACATTTCTTTTTTGGTTGTTCACATTCAGCTTGAACAACAAATGTACTATTTTCTTTTATCAATTTTAAACTATCACGATGTTTTTTATTATGCATAGGACGTCCTATAGATTGCCACCATTTATTTCCACAGCATAAATCGTCGGTTTTACATAATGTACAAATGAATGATAATGGTTTTGTGCCTTGTTTCAGCCATCGATTAACAGGAGTGCCATCTGAATCTACTTTTTTCAACTATGAAATATTAAATTTTGCCGCGTTAAGAGGCCTTTAACGAGAATGTAGTTATTTAACAATAGCTTTCTTGAAATGATTGAGTATAGTTTTTAATCGGTAGAGAATGACCATATAGGAAAATTAACAAAAATATATATGTTCGTAACATTTTACATCAAAAGATAATATAATTATAATTTGTCAAAAGGAGCAAAAAAGAAGAAAAGAAACAACGAAAAATATTGCATAATTATTATATAATGTTGTTCTTTGTCTCTTTTGTTTTCTTTCTTGTTCCTTCTAATTAATTGTAATTGTATTACCTTTTGATGTTACACATTAAAAACATATATATATATTCTTACCAGTTAATGCGTGAAGATGACACTTTAATTTGTCGAAAACTCGAAATACGGATTGATCTTCGTTAAAAATTAAAAGACATTTTTTTGTTGCATTGCTATAATCAATCATTTCAAATATCTTCTGAACTGTAGAATCACAAAATGTTTTTGTTTAAAATATTGAAAATACTGATTTCACAACTTAAGTGATAAAAAGGAGGAATAGGAGGATTCCGATGTAAAAAGGAGGAGAAGGAGGACATGTTATGGGAAAAGGAGGAAAAGGAGGAGGTTTCACATGCCAGTAGATATAATGTATTATACCTAAATATAAAACTTCATAAAATGAAAAAATCATTTGCAATCATAAGAAAATTTTCTGTAATTGTTTTTGATAATTATATCATCATTTAATTCCGTACGTTTAATAAATTTCACATAAGGTGCTTTAATACGATTATACATTCATCTTGCCCACAGTTGAGTCAAAGAATGGTATATGTAAATTTTCATAACATAAAAGTAATTTTAATATATTCTGCGAATAATGAGATAGTGAATGAAGTACACGATGAACATCTTTATCTAAGATTTGATAAAATTTTTGCTAGAGAATAGATCAAAAGAATTTTAATCTGTTTTACATCAATATCAGAAATAAATTGATTTAATTTATTATAAAATAGATCAAATTGTTTATCATTTGAATCGAATGAATTAAATTCAAATATATAGAATTCCGTTCGATTTTTATTATAAATAGAAGTTATTTGCTTCAAGAGCATCCATTCGAGACTTTGATACAAGAGAATAAATTTCTAGATAATGATTTTCAATTTCTTGTTTTATTTTTATAAATATTTCACGCACTATATGCTTTATACAAATTAATAACATGATCAATGCGTTTTAATAATTCTTGTCTATCAAGTGTTCGAATATCCATTGTGTGATTATTAGTGAAATCATTTTTATAACTAATTACCATTTAATTGTTGATGTAAATTCACATAAGGAAACATTAGTTGAATATTTTTTTTTGTTTTAAAAGTCTTACACAAACTAGTAGACCAGCGATTTTTTCATATTTATAATAAAATTGTGAATATGAATGATTTTTTTTTAAAAACCGAATCACGTTTAAATCGACAGATATTGATTTGCGAAGAAAAAGCTTAGTATTATGACAACGTTATTCTCTAGTTATAAAAGAAATAGAA